CTGATTTCTTACCTGGAAGTAGAATGGGATTGATGCTGCATCTGTCCCTTAAAATGCTGAGGGTAAAAGAGCAGGAAACCACCTGTCCTCTCTATCCCCAGAGAGGTCATCAGAGGTTTTCCTTGATCGTCTGCTTTGGGGTTAGCCAACCTAAGGAGAAAGATTCTACTCCAGCAGGATTTAGGGCAGGCTGTATTTATGCAAGGCTCATGCTTTGTGGAGCACTTTTGAGAAGAGTTGAGATTACTGCTTCATCTCCAGCAGCTGGCCTCGTACTCTGGCCTTTATTTTTCCTCCTAAGGGCCTTCTGTGAAGCTGTTTACTCTGACGGACTTGGTCCTGCTGTCCTGTAGTGCTGGCAATGCACAAACTGTGTCTGCATGCTGAAATCCTCCAGGAGACCTGGGGTGGTGTCAAACAATAATGTGTTCTTTCTGTTCAAGCACATTAGAAGTGCAATTAATTGTCACAATCTCTCTGCTCATCTGTAACACAGCATGAGGTGACTTCCCCAGCCTTTGTGTGCTGTGGCAGACTGAGCTTGGGTCCAAGACCTTCCCGTCATCTTGTGATCTCATGCAATCCTGGAAGAGCTGGGTTGATTTGTTGCTTGGCCCCCACCACTTCCCTGAAGTCAAGTTGTAATCCAAGGCAGGGTTTCTCAGGCTCCTATGCCATCCACTGCTTTTTTCTCCAAGACAATCCCAGACTTTCTGAGCTCCCTTTAGAGACATCTGGGTTCATATGGGTTTTAAGACATGGAAAAAAAAAATGGTGGTGGTTCTGTTGGAAACCTGGTGCCATGGTTGCAAATAGGGATGATACAGTTTAAATAGTGGGGATTCACTTAAAGGAATGTCCCTTTCCAAAATTATATATATAGCTGGAAAGTATTAGTGATGGTGATGCCAATTAAAACATCTATCTATGGTTGAAAGGAAGGAGTCAGAGAGTTGTAGTCAATGGGGCAGAATCTGGTTGGAGGTGTGTGACTAGTGGAGTCCCTCAGGGGTCAGTACTGAGACCAGTGTTGTTCAACATCTTCATCAACGACCTGGATGAGGGTATAGAATGTACCCTCAGCAAGTTTGCTGATGACACTAAGCTGGGAGGAGTGGCTGACACACCAGAAGGCTGTGCTGCCATTCAGAGAGACTTAGATAGGTTGGAGAATTGGGCGGGGAGAAACATGATGAAATTCAACAAGGGGAAGTGCAGAGTTTTGCATTTGGGGAAGAGAAACACGATGTCCCAGTACAGGTTGGGGTCTGAACTGCTGGAGAGTAGTGTAGGTGAAAGAGACCTGGGGGTCCCGGTAGACAGGAGGATGACCATGAGCCAGCAATGTGCCCTTGTGGCCAAGAAGGCCAATGGCATCCTGGGGTGCATTAGAAAGGGGGTGGTTAGTTGGTCAAGAGAGGTTCTCCTCCCCCTCTATTCTGCATTGATGAGGCCGCATCTGGAGTATTGTGTCCAGTTCTGGGCCCCTCAGTTCAAAAAGGACAGGGAACTGCTCGAAAGAGTCCAGCGCAGAGCTACGAAGATGATTAAGGGAGTGGAACATCTCCCTTGTGAGGAAAGGCTGAGAGAGCTGGGTCTCTTTAGCTTGGAGAAAAGGAGACTGAGGGGTGACCTCATCAATGTTTACAAATATGTAAGGGGTGAGTGTCAGGGAGATGGAGTTAGGCTTTTCTCAGTGATGACCAGTGACAGGACAAGGGGTAATGGGTGCAAATTGGAGCATAGGAGGATCAAGGTGAATATCCAGAAAAAATTTTTTACTGTAAGAGTGACAGAGCACTGGAACAGACTGCCCAGGGAGGTTGTGGAGTCTCCTTCACTGGAGACATTCAAAACCCACCTGGATTCGTTCCTGTGTGATGTGCTCTGGGTGACCCTGCTCTGGCAGGGGGGGTTGGACTAGTGATCTTTCGAGGTCTCTTCCAACCCTTATGATTCTATGATTCTATGATCTATGAGGAAAGCTGGACATTCACATCCTTGCTCAGAAGTGTCAGTAGAGCTCAGTGAATCCAGGGAGATTTTGGGAGGAGGACAGAATCCTGACACAAGGCTTATCCCTAGGGTGGTCTTTTTGCTGTAGACTACTGCCATGTAATTATTTGTAGAGCCAAATAAGGATTAGTTTAAATAATATTTCTGTCAAACTCAGAGACACACCAGCAAATTACCACAAGTTATTTTGGCACCAGAATAGTTGGGAAAAAACTTTAAATCCTGTACCACTGTACCTAATGATTTTGCTGTGGGAATTTCCCATGTGGCGGACAGGTGATAGGAAAGGGTTACAGAAGACAGGTGAAATTATGGAAGTGGGATGACTGAAGAGAAAAGAGTGTAAGTTGAAAGACTTACATTATATGTGCCATGTGATGTTCAGCAAAGAAACTTAAGGAAACACAAAACTGGGGGCTAGATCTGCAGATTCTGATTCTTCATGGAGTGGCTGGAAATTACTTTTTGCAGCAAGGTCATGTTTGCAAAGGGAGAATAGAGCCACCAACTGGCAGATGCAGCCCAGAGACCATGAAAAAAGGTTACAAGAGCTCTGCTGCTGTGGGGTGCCAGGACCCCACTGAAATGTAGGCAGCACAGGTCTGGGATGGGAAGGAATATGGTGCAGGATGGGAAGGGACAGGGTCTCCCTTTTAGTAGTAGAGCAGGGATTTTTCAGCAGTGCAGGTGGGGTTGAAGGTGTGATGGCAGGTCTGCAGAGGACTGATCCAAGGGCTGAAAACAGCATAAGAGACTGTCATTTGCATTAGGGTGTGTTGGCAAATGTTATTATATAGGCTTCTGAATTACTCCTCTACCACGGTTAGCTTTACAAGCCTTCTTGATGTCTTGTCTTTAAAAGTCACTATTTTACTTAATGTATGTAGGTATCTGTATGCGTATCCATACATGTATATGTATACAAACATGCAGATGTATGTGAGCACATACAGGTTTCTGGCTTTCTCCTGAGTTCCACAGGACTCTTTTGCCATCCAGGCAGGGGAAGGCCACTCATCTGCTCTGTTTGATCAGTGAAGCTTTGGCTGGTGGAAGGCACATTCCTGGTAGCCCTGCAAAAGGGGGAGACAGGAGAGGCTGAGGGATTTGTCCATATTGTACCATCATATTATTAAAATATGCATGTTCCTTCAGTTAGTCAATAGTCTGGACAGTATTAGTGATTTCATCAAAGTGCCACCATGCTGGAAAGACAGAAGAGATGCAAAAAGAGGGAGTAGCTTGCTGCATGTGCAGTGTTGGTACCTGGTTGCTGGATGGCTGTGGCAGGCTGTAGAGCCCCAGCAGCAAGAGCAGCTTGCAACCCGCTAGCCCTGTGTCTGCTTTCGTGTCCCTGCTGCTTGATCAGTGCATTGTGGTGACATCAGTTTGTGCAGGCTGACCTCAAAGGCAGATCTTCTCTACTGCCTGAGCCCAGCCTGCCCTAGGTCTGTGCTGCTGGTGGATTAAGCCAGCATAAATCAGAGCACTTCCCTTGCCCTGGTATTGTTTGGGTTTAGAGTGCTTTGGTCATGCTAAAATAAACAAAAAAGTAGTAGCCTTTGAAGCTTAAATAACCTTGAAGAAAAAGTGGGTGCTTAGTTGAACAGGTTGTGCAAAATCCATGCTTGTTCAGAAAGCTTGCTAAGGCTTGTTGCTTTAAACCTTTTGATCGTCTCCCCAGTGGTTTGTTCATTTGCATTGTATTTCATGACTGGGACCTAGAGCCATGACTTCAGAGTCACCTGGAAGTGTTGTAGCAAGAGAGGGAAGTATCCCAGGGGGACTCTTGTTGGGGCACTGATTCTTAGACACAGTTGTGAGTTTCTCGGTTCCTTGAAGTGTGACTGGAGTTTTCCCCTCTAACAAACACAGGTGTCCCATTGGGCTACCCAGTCACCTTCAATACATCTTAGCTGCTTCAGTGATCACATAAATGCTTCTGGAGTAGGGAGCAGAGGGCTGTTTGCACAGGAGTCTGGAACTAAGGCTTTTTTATTGATAAAATCTTGTTCTCCCAGAGCTTGTCTCTTCCTGCTGCTGGTCAGGGCTACAGTGGGATATAGCTCCTGTTTTGTGGCATGAAGTTTTTAAACTTTGTTCTGGGAAGTTGCTTTCCACATATTTTTCCATTGCTCTGGTCTTCAGTGGAAGTTTTTTTCCCTGGCTGGACTGACAGTAACTCATCTCCACTTGGAGCCCAAGCTGGAGAGATCTGTGGAGATTATCACAGAATCACAAAATCTTAGGGTTTGGGAGGGACCTCGAAAGATCACCTAGTCCAACCCCCCTGCCAGAGCAGGATCATCTAGAGCACATCACACAGGAACGTATCCAGGCAGGTTTTTAATGTCTCCAGCAAAGGAGTTGTTATGAGTCCCCTGATGCCACAGTGGCTGTTCCCTCTGGCTCAGTGCTGAGATAGGTTGCTGTGTAATTTGGGAAAGACTTGTTTTTCCTGCAGTATGTGCTATGGCTGTTCTGTACAGAGTTTCAAGACCCCTTCTGGCTCTGTTAGGTAGTTATCCCAGCCCCCTGCAAGGTAAATCATAGCAATCAGCCCTGGTTTTGACAAGCGTAGAGCAATTGTGGTTTGACCAGGTCCCTGCTTTAACTGCTTGCACATACTTTTCTCTGGGAGACATGAGAGCAGAGAATTTCTGGTCCTCTCAGCCCATGCAACATGGTCCTCCCAAATAAAGCTCTGTATTCTGCTTTTCAGTGCCTAGAGCTGCTCATCCCAACAGCACCAAAGGCTTTAAAATAGTAGTTAATACCAGCCACTCAGGAGGTGGGGAGAATTGCTCAGTTTTACATCTCCTTAGGCCTTTGTATCTTGTACCCAGCACTGTCCAGCTCTTCTCCTCTGTGGCTGAAGAGGCGGTTCTTCTACCCTGCCATGGGAGCAGCCACCCTGGGCAGTGGGCATAAGAGGCTGGGTTGCTGCTTCTTTCTTTCTTTACCTCTTTTTTTCCTCTCCACAGCTCCTGCTCAGGCTCAAATCATCCATGCTGGGCAGGCATGTGTTGTGAAGGAAGACAACATCAGTGAACGTGTTTACACAATTCGGGAGGGGGACACGTTGGTGCTGCAGTGCCTGGTCACAGGGCACCCCCGGCCACAGGTAAGCTTCTGGTCTTGCCTGTCACCCATGCTCCTCGTGGCACTTTTTTGCAGTCTCCACATAGGAGACAAATGTAGGCAATGAGGGACCCAGCTTTCTCCTCTGTGTTGGAGTTAAGTAGGGATGCCCCACAGTGCAAGCTTGTTGAGCTATGAAGCATTCAGCTTTGTTTTAATGGAAGAAAGTTTACAGAGTTTTGCTGGAGCCTACATAGACCTTCTAGGGGTCTTCAATATGTGAAGTTCCCCAAAACACTGAAAACCCAAACTGAATCCATATAGCAAGCACCCTCAAATCTTTAACCCTCTTACTCCAAAGCAGGAGCAGCCTAGACAGGCCCGAGAAGGGTTTCCGCATGTGCCGGCCATAGGAATTGTTCCTTCATGGTACACCAGTCTCTCAGCTTTTCTGGATGTACAGACAAGGGCAACCTGCTTGGGAGAGTTTGGGAAGCTGTTTGTAGTGCGTGTCACTGAGCTCCACGCAGAGCCCAGTGGCTGTTGCTTCACAGCCAGCAACCAGAGGCAGGTCCAGACGTGCAGCGCTCGATAGATCCAAGCTGTGGTAAAAGCCACAGATCAGCTGAGAGGTATGGAGCAGAGCTTGCCTAACTGCTGCAGTCCTTCCCTAGAGGACTGCATAGCTCCAGGACCCATGCAGCCACCTCCTCATTCAGTGTTAGTGTAGATGTGTCAATAGAGATACTGGGCCACAGCATGGGTCCACATGGAGAGAGCGAGGTGGGAGTGGCAGCTGGTACATACTATAGAGCTGCATGGCCAGATCACACTCAAAGGAGCCAAGTTTGATATGTGTGTTGCCTTGGCCTCCTTCTTCAATGCTGCTGAAGATACTTGTGCTCAGAAGCTGTACATCTGCAGTACAACAATCAGCACCTCTATGAACTTACTTGTGAGGAGATACTTTGCTTGGAGGCCATGACAAAGGAGAAGGAGAGAAACTCAGCCAACAGGATTTGAAATGGTTTATCCATCCAAGTATATCCTGGAAACAATAAAAAGGAAGTTACCCAAGCCAGGCCAGCAAAACAACCACCCTAGGCTAGTGACAGTGATGGGCTAACAGTGATAACTGTATGTCAGAAAGAAGATGGTAGGGCTGCTGTGCCTTAGGATGTTGAGTGTATGGGAAGGTGCTGGCAGGTTGTGGGGATCTGAGCCTGAGTAGCCAGAGAGATTGCTGGAGCAGAGCCTGGTGCAGACAGCATGCTACTGGGCAACTTTGTGGCTTGTCATTGCCCAGACGTGTGAGGGACACCAGAGCAGGGAACCAGGCATGACCAAGGAGGCTGGAACCCACACACATAAAATATGGCATGTGTCTTATCTCTGCCTTCCCTCCCTTGAGGATAGATTTCTTCCCCAGCTAAGCTTTTGTCCTAACCTTTGTTTAATCTTTTCTTTTCCCTTCTATAAGCCAGTCATTAAAGCATGAAAATGTGGCCAAAACACTTAAATGAGATTGCAATTGGAAAGATTAAAGAGCTGGCTGAAGTGTCCTTGCAAACAGGAGATGCTGAGAGCCTTGAGGCCCTCAGACAATTTCATAATAAGCCTACAAAGGCTAAATAAATCTATGGTCATTAGCTCAAAAAATCTGCTCAGCCTAGTGGTGTGGAAGTGGGATGTAGAAACCCCAGCTCTTTCCAGCACATCAGCATCAATCAGGTGATGGCAGTGAGTTTAGGTGATGTCTAGGGGAGGAGTAAAAGTATCTGGTCCAGCTTACCTGTGGCCAGTGTTGAATGAAAGTCTGTCTTCTTTCTGTTGGCTGATCTTGCTAGATCTCAGTCCTAGAGTCTAGGTGGGCACCAGTGTGGAAGACCAGCAGTCACCAACCTGCAGAAGGGAGGTTGCAGATACAGGAAACTAATGGGGTGAGAAAAGCTGCCTCTCTCTTTCATTTTCTGTGCTGCAAAAAAACAAAGGGGAAGTGTGTAATGCCACTGCTAGGGCTGTACCTAATTCCAGACGTAAGAATAACTATTCAGGCTTTAGGAGAGCTGTCTTCTTGCCACCACTCACTGTGAAATACCATACCTCTTTGTTACCCTTGCAAGCCAGGATCTTAAGACGTGACATAAGGATAAAAAATGCAAGATAGCTTGAAATCTGGAGGGATTTTTTTATTTTTCTTTTCTATATCTTTAAAATCGAAGTAAAACCTTGTGTACTGCAAAAGGAATACTTATAACATACACAGGGTTTCCCTGTGGGAAAGGGGCAAGAGCCAGACAGCGACTGCATTTTCTCATTCTTACTTGGAAAAGCAAACAACAGAAATAGCCCTGCTGTCCAGAGAAAAATTGCAGTGTTGACTGCAATAAAAGCTCTGTAGCTGTGAGCTGATGTTTGCTGTAGCTCCATGGCCTACCAGCCACATGGGGTCCCAAGACTTAATGCTGAAAATCCTGTGCTGGGCAGACAGTGGTATAAGACTAACCAAGTTCCTGGGTTTACAGGACAAGAGCAAGAGTGATAAATATGCAGTGTGTGTCTGGGTGAACCAAGAGATTACCCTGGATGCTCAGATGTGGGGATTGGTAATGGATGGTAATCAGCAGCTGGTCTACTGAGATGTACTGAGATCAGCAGTTGAACTTTGGTAAGGCCGTTGCCGTCCTGTAGGGCCCAGTTTTGAGAATTGCTAGGGAGGAGGGGAAAGAGGAGCAAAGGGAGGAGTGCTGCTGTCACCCGGGATCTCTAGTCCGTGTCACTGATTGCTCGCGTTGCTCTCGTTCTTCTCGTGCAGGTGAGATGGACCAAGACCGCCGGCAGCGCGTCGGACAAATTCCAGGAGACGTCGGTGATTAACGAGACCCTTCGGATTGAGAAGATCCAAAGGCTGCAGGGGGGCCGCTATTACTGTAAAGCAGAAAATGGGGTTGGGGTCCCTGCCATCAAGTCCATTCGAGTAGATGTGCAGTGTAAGTCGTTTAGCGGCAGCCCAGACCTTCCCACAGTTCTACTGCACGTCTCTGCCTCGCTGTGGGGCCAGCAGGGAGCTGCGTTGCCCTAGGGCCACTCACACCTCATGCAGGAGCACAGGGACTGGCGTGGTGTCCCCAGGGCCCATATCCCCTAAGAGGTTAGATCCATCCTCGAAAAAGATTGCTCTGCCTGTCCGTGTGAGTCATTCTTATCTAGGTGCTGTCATGTCTGTCACTGCCAGGGGTCCCTGGGGCTTGTCTGGGATGTGGCATTGCAGCTGGCTTCTGCTTCCTTTGTATTCATTTTGAAGCTGGCAATGCTTGAAGCAAACCAATGCTCACTGAAATTGGTAGTGCCTCAGATGCTTGGGACATTTCTGAAACCAGTGCCCTGCTCCCAGCATTGCTGCCTCTGCAGCATGGTGGAAACAGAGCAAAAGGCCATGGAATGCCCCTCAGCAGGCTGAGCTGTGAAAGGGTGAAGATGAATGAAGCTGTGAGGACCCCTCAGTTTCAGCAGTGACTCAGTGTTTCTCTGGCTGGTTGCAATGCTCATCCTTCTTGTGTCCTGGAGGTGCTGTTAGTGGTTCTCCACCAAGGGAGCCACATTCTGAAGGTTTCTCAAGCTGGCTTAATGTTGTTTGTTCTTGGACTGCTGGGAACAAAACGGCAGGAAATGAAACTTATGCAATAACTGCGATAGTGAGGAATGAAAGATTTAAAGTCTAGGAAAGTTTGAGGAGATTTGCTGCTTTGGAGAAAACTGCCATTCTTCTTGTTGTCCTTGGCCCTCCAGTGCTCCAGTTTCCTCAAGCCCAAGTGACACCAAATTCCTCTTCCCATGCCAAGATGTAAAGTATAAAATCCTCCTTGAAGCTATCACTACCTGTTCCCACAGTCTTCCTTCTGTGCTGAGGTGCACTGTGGTAATCTGTCAGTGGAGCAACCTCCAGGCTTCAGAACCCTCATACTTGCCTGGAGTCCGGGCATAACTTTGCTGACAGCAACTGCTGCCTGAGAGCTGTCTGCTCAGAGTCCTTCTGTCCAGCTCTGTGATGAGAAATACTGTGTTCTGGCAACCTGCTGCCTTCAGTGTATGTGTTGTGACCCTCACAAAGTATACCATGGACATGAGCAAGCCTTTGGTAGGCTCATGATCTGCAGTTGTATTATATGGCTTGGAGCAGCTGCTGTCTCTCTCTCTTCCTTACCCTACCTTGTAGTGGGGCTAGTGTGGTGTGACCACCATGCTGCTGGCTAGGAGTATAGATAGCTTCATCAGCACCTAACTTGGAGAGGATGAGAATTTCTTCATGGGCACTGTGTAGCTTTGGAGGAGTCCTGATATCTACCTAGATCTGTTTAGCTTCTCTGCCAGTTTCCTCTCCTGCACGTGATGGATGAATATAGAAGCATAGGATCATCCTGCTTGGAAGGGACCTTGAAGATCATCAAGTCCAACCATAACCTAAATCCCTCTACCATAACCTGATTTACCTGTTTCAGTGCTTAAATCAACTCACTAAGCACTAGATCTATATTTCTTTTAAACACTTCCAGGGATGGTGACTCCACCACCTCCCTGGGCAGCCTGTTCCACTGTCCAACCACTCTTTTGGTAAAGCAATTCTTTCTAATATCCAGCCTAAACCTCCCCTGGTGCAGCTTCAGGCCATTTCCTCTCATCCTGTCATTATTCACTTGAGAGAAGAATATGATAGCTCTCCATTGCAAAGGGGACTTGCTTTTCTTAAGCCTCAGCATGACACATTGCCAGGACTTGTGTCTCTAGGAACAGGACTGTGGCCTGAGTCTTTTTATGCACTGAGGGCATTCCCTCTACTTCTGGGGTGCAGACTGGAGCTAGAGTGATGTAGTGTCCTGTGGTCCTGCTGCCTGAAGCAGCTCTGACCTGTAGAACTGTGGGGCTGATGGGGTGACCAAGGGCTTTCTCATACTAACATCTACTCTGCAGATGGACTTGGTAATGCACCTCACTTGGTTTTTGGGGAGGAAAGTCTATTTTCTGCTAGTATTTGCAGTAGCTACAAGGAAACACATAGGAAAAGCCACAGTTTTTGTTGGATGCTGTCCCAGACAACCTTCAGCTGAATGCACCAGACTTTGAAAACAAACCCCTTCTTTCCCCACACCCCAATTTGCAGTTGAAGGTAAGTAATCACCCCCATGTGAACCATGGTCTCCCTGACAGCTACTGCTACTCCTCACTCATACTTTAAGTATAAGACAGCAAGGTTGGCAGGAGAGCACCACTACTGACAAGAGGATATTAAACTGGAAACAATAACCTGTGTAGCAGGTTACTCCTTTGCCCCGAGTGGGCATCAAGAGAGGCTTTAAGGTATTGGTTAGATACAGGCAGACAGGGAGCTGCTGTTTGGAGTGTTTCCATGTGGGAGAGAGGGAAAGTAAAGAAAAAAGAGGGAGAGGATGCTTGCAAGCTTATATTGTGCATGAAACATCCCATGTGATCATCTCTGTGAGCAGCCTTGGGCCAAATTTATCATTTGTGCAGCTCACTGGCATCAGTGGTGTTACTTGTTCATCAAGGACATATATATCCTCGTAGGTCTTATTTTAGCTTTTCTCAGGAGGGCTAGACTTAGAGCTGGCTGCTACAAAAGGAGGCTGAAAGATTTGAGGGAGGAAAGGTTTAGCAATCAAAGGAAGATGTTGTTTTCTGTGAAGGGAGTAGCTGGGAGCCAGGAGACCTGAATGGTATCCTCTTTGATCAATAAGGGAAGTGTTTTGCCACACATCCTACTGAGAAATGGAGGCTCAGAAGGATGATAGCTACAGAGTTTCTCATGTAGAGTGTGGGGAAAAAAAAAAAAAGTGTTAAGGATAAAGAAGGAGGAAAGAGAAGAGGTTGTGTCCAAGGTCCTGGTCCGAAAGAATTTAGTGTAAAGTTCCGTCATCCTATAGCTATATGGAGACAGCACTGTGTGGTGAGGAACATTTTTTTCTCCACCTCTCTATGTTCTTCTTCAGCCTTTTTTTTTTTTTTTTTAAATTTTAATTTATTTGTGTGTATGTGCCTTGTCATTGTTCTGCTAAAGGCTGTACTTACATTTCTGAGCTATGGTGTGGTCACACCAACAAATCTCAGTTCCCATTACAATTGCTGTCTAGCAGGCATACAGCTCATTAAAATATGCAAATCCACAAGTTGACACTTGTGATTCAGCAGAGAACATGCATTATTTGGATGACACATTAGCAGAAACTCATCCCTTCCTTTCTGGGAGTCAGCTTTTCAGACTTACAAATCTCTAAAATAAAATATTGTGAAAATTAGGTGTCAGAGAGCATGATGTTGATGAACAGGTTTCCTCTTCCTCTCTGCTAGCATGTGCAGAAGACAGTACTGGCAGCATTAGAGGATACTGAGTGTATGTGCACCTCAGTTTCCTCTCAGTTGAAGATGAGGTCGTAAGGCTCTTGAAAGTGTAGAATTGCTTCAGATGAGCTCAGCAGATGCCTCATAAGACATGCTTAAGGGCACAGGGACAGATACCAGTTTTAGGGGACCGCTTAGTTCCATCTTGTCAAAGGGGATCTTTATATTTAACCCCAACCAGTCTCAAAGTGGTTCTGGGAGGAGAAAGATCCACCCCCTGTGAGGTTTGCCCCATGCTGCCATGTGTTCAAACACTGATGTCTGGTGTGAAAGCCCAAGGGAATGATCTCTTTTTAGCAGGAGGGCAGCCCCTGGGGAGCAAAGTGCCCTGGGTACTTGGAGAAAGTTTGCTTCCTGCAGGGCTATTGCTTGTGTCCTTGCAAGTGAAGTGGTTGATAACCATGGATCAAGCTGTGACAGCCCCATGTCTGGTGCAGATATGGTGAAGGAATTGGAAGGAGTATTTTCTGCAAAGGGAGAAAACAGAAAAGACACTGATCAATTTAGGGGGTGGGTGGTAGAGATGCAGATAAAAGAAGTTACTGAAGAGAGAGTCAGTACAGACCTTTAAAAGAAGAAAATACAGATAATTTTTTAATAGGAAGAGGGGAAGGTGTACATACTATTCACAGTGTTTTGCATCTTGTGTTCCTGTGGCACCCTACAAGACTTCCTCCTGTTGAGAAGATGATTCTCCGTCTCAGCTCCTTGATCTTGTTTTGACTTTTGCTCTCATCCCTTGTCTCAAAAGTTTGTGATGTCCTTTGTGTTGGACATCTCACAGCTGTGAGCTTAGCCCCATGATTTCAGGTGGGATTTGGAAAGTGGGAAAAACAGAAATTATGATGAAACAGAGTTTTCTGGGATCCTTCTGACCTCTCAGCAAAGTAGAGAGCAGTGATTTAGGGTATGGGGTGACATTTGGGAAACTGAAGCAGTCCACTGGTCTGAGAAACATGTGTCAGGCAGTTTGCTCAAGGGCCACGTGGGATCTGCAAAGCAAAGGGTGCTTTCTATTCTCTGAAGGTTGTGTGGTGAAAGGGAGCATTTTGGCTTCTCCTGTCTGTTTCCCTTTAGATATTGTTTGTGTTGCCTGCCCTCATGATCAGCTCTTAATTCAGCAGTTGCCATCAGCCCAATGTGTGGGAGCTTCCCATCTCCTGTGTAGTGCGTGGAGCATCATCTGCTCCACAGGCTGTACATGCAGACCAACCTTCACTAACAGTTGCTGCTGCCCTCCTTGCCTTCCTTACAGACCTAGATGAACCTGTTCTCACCATTCACCAGACCATCAGTGACGTACGGGGCAGCTTCTACCAGGAGAAGACTGTCTTCCTCCGCTGCACTGTCAACTCCAACCCACCAGCTCGCTTCATCTGGAAACGGGGAGCTGAGACACTTTCCCACAGCCAGGACAATGGCGTGGACATATATGAACCCCTCTACACACAGGTGAAAAAACCCAAGCCTCAACCAGCTGGTGTTGAGCATCTTGTTGATGCAGGGCATTCTGTACCGGGTGGCATGTCTTTCCCTTTGTGGACTACAATGCTGGGGAGAGGGTGGTGGCCACTGCAAGGAGCACTGTCTCCAGGAGGGCTGATAGACCCCACTTCTGTGTGCAGGTTCCCAGGGTACAGGAGGAGCAGAGCAGCAGGACGGAGTGTGACGGCCTAGAAGTCCCTCCCCTTTTTGGCACTGTCCCTGAGAGCAGGTCACAGCTCCCTTAATGACATTACATGGCTTTTGGATGGTGGAGACTAAAATCCAAGCAAACAGTTCCTTGATTTGGTCTCCCCTATCTCCCATTACTTATTTTTTTTTTCCTTAATTGAGTGCCCAAGCTCCATAAATCAGTGGAATCACTTCCTGTTTGGCAGTGTGAGTGAATGTCTGGAATTGCTGTGGGGTCCATGAGGCTAATGATAAAGAGCTCTTCCTAATGGCCATAAGTAACAGAGGCAGCCCAGCTGCCTGGGCTCCTTCTGCCTGTCATTCTGTGAAAGGGTATCCACATGCTTTTGGCTTATCCTGCATGTGAACGCTGGACTTGCCCTTCTGAAGGCCACTTTTTTCACAGTAATTAGCCAACTGACACAGTGGGAGATGGAGGGGAATTTTTCTTTTGCCAAGGCACTCTGGGCATGTTATCCTGAGCTGAGCTCTGGCTCTCAGTGTCCTTCAGATGCTAACCAGCCCAAGTGCTTCCAGCAAGGCCATCTGTGAGCATGAGGCAGTGATGAGTGGGCAGGGAAGTGTTCCCCAGGGCACCCGTTTCATCCCACGCACCTCCTCACGCTCCCAAAACTGGGCTCTGAGTGCATTCTGGCTGAGTTTGATTTCTAAGTGAGGCTCCAGGCAACCTTTCAGATAATGTAGTCGTGTTCATATTTTATTGAAACACGCCATCTCTGTATGTTGTGGAAATGGGCACCCAAATGGAAACATGCAGGGGGATGTGGAGAGGGAATAGCTGCAGGTTAGTGGCAGACTTGCAGAAACACTGTAGGTCAGCGCTGCTGTTTGGCCCAGCAGAGAACTTTGTCTAGTCCAGTGCTCTGTGACTTCCAACCAGGACACCCCTGGCCTTAGAGGAAGCCACCATGGGCTCTTCAAGCTTTCACTAATCCCAGTGTAATTGGCAGGAGACATTGCTTAATGAGAGGATGTCTTAGGACTTGAGGTATTTTTTTCAGCTGAATTAGGCATCTGGTAGAAACTCATGGTGTTGCAGCATTAATGTGTAAGGGACCCAGCATCCTGCAGCTCCTCTCAGGCAGCATTCCCACCATGGGAGGTCATTCCCAGCTCTGAGAGAGGCTGTTAGGACTGCAGTGCTCACACAGGCATGCACTTATGGTCCTTTCCTTAGCATCAGCATAAACCTCTGAGTTCAGGTTGGTAAGAGTTGGAGTTAACAGACAACATACCTCTGCAACACTGTTGGGAGGGGAAAACCTTGCTGGAGCTCAGATGCACCACGTTTAACAAAGCACCCTTCCCAGGGTTTTGCAATATTGCCTTAGAGATGAACTGGTATCAGTGTCAGGTTTGGGTAGGCTTTTACATTAAAAAGGAGGTGAAGACTTTACTGTTTAAGCTTTTAAAAACTTATTTACACTGAAGGTTTATACACATTTACCCAGCATTTACTAATCAATAAACAGGACTGTAAGTACGTAGTTGACATGCACGTTGTAAATGCCATCATTTGTGTGGCATAGCAACGAATCTCAGGGGACAGGACTTTCATAGGATTATTGGTCTCCTAGGTATTTGTCTTTCTAATTTACTCAGTTCAGATCCTTATTCCCTGCATATTAGCATGCCTGAGCTCATTGTCCAGTCCCTTGAGGGTTGTCCTACAGAGAATTTATTTGAGCTGACACCTTCTCACACTTGCAGGCAATTATAGAATGGTTTATCCAAAGGAGATTTAGACAAACACAAGGAAAACAACAGCAACAAGCTGTCATGGGAAGAAATATGAGTTGTAGGGTGTGCAAACCACAGAATGCATCTCAGAGCTTTCAGTGTTCCAGAAATCAAAATCTACAGAAGGCATCTAGTGTCAATTTAGCAACTTGATTCTGTTTCTGTAACATGCCAGCAACTACTGGCTTGTAAGGGAGTGGTTTTGTTTGTTTGTTGCCATAGTATGAGAAAAGGCTATCAAAATCTATGCAGCCACTCTGGATAGACACAAACATAAATGAGATTAGAATCTGGAGATGAGATCAGAAAGTTTTTGGGATGTCTTTGAATTATATTTTTCCCTCCATATTGCAAATTTTTACAGCATACCTGTTGAACTTAGCATATTTAGGCCAGGATTAATGCTGGAATTTACTCTGATTTACTTTTGGTTTGCGGTGTTGAGACACCAGTGACCTCCCTTGGGTTCCTACTGACATCTCAGTGTGAAATCTCAGGGTCTATTCTGGGAGCTTTAAGGCTTTTCAAGTTCCTCAGTATGAATCTTAAAGCAATTGTTGAGAAATTTGGCAGTGATTTCAGGTTAAATGTCAGTTGGTTACTGGTTGTTCGGAGACATCTTGGAGGCAGAGTTACCACTGCAAACATTTTGTGTCTCCTTTTTATATAGCTAAGGAGGCTAGGAGTCTTCACAAGTCCCTAAGTTTTTTATAGGAGCTGCTGGTAATCTGCAAAATTTGGGCCAAGTTATGGACTTACAGTGATAAGCTGTTCTTTGTACACCTGTGTCATCTTTCCTCCTCTTTTTTTCCCAACCCTCAGGGTGAAACCAAAGTCCTGAAGCTGAAAAACCTGCGTCCCCAGGACTACGCCAGCTACACGTGCCAGGTGTCTGTCCGCAATGTCTGCAGCATCCCTGACAAATCCATCACCTTCCAGCTCACGAACACCACAGGTAGGAGAGGGATGCAAAGGGGTCCCTGCAGCCCTCCAACCCCTACCTGCTCAACAGGCATCACCCCTCCAAGCGGGTAACATAGCACCCTGTCCAGGGCCTGCAGCACCTCTCATTCATGGACCTGGCTGCTGGGATTACAAGTTCTCTGTGCAGAAGTCTTGAGGCCAGAGATGCTTCATTTCTTGTAGCTCTGTGTATAGCCAGTGCTTTGGCCAGGCCTGCTGTGAGATCATTAAAACAAACCACGTGGAGGTGTTGAGGCACTATGCCATTTTTAATCCAGACACTATTGTATTTATTTATAATTCTAAGTGACTTTAAAAATAGATCTGATACGGTCTAGAGGGGGGTAGATGCTGCTGGAGTTCTTACAAATCATTCATTCATGTGTGACTCTGGCCTGGTTTACCAGGCTACTCTCTCAGCACCTCCCAGCTAACAGGTTCTGCTGGTACCAATGTTTGTGGAAAGCAAATTTCTCTGGTGCCTTCCCTACAGATAAATTTTACACTGATATTCACACTGGCAGTGCATGAGTGTTCCTCCAGTTGCAAACAGAATCAGTTTGGTGCATCTTGCTTGACCTGCAGTATCTGATAACTGAGTGTCTTGTACCAAATACTTGTCAAGACCTGATTGCAACCTGTCCATTAAAAAAACAAACAACAAACAAGCAAACAAAAACTACCAAAACCAAACCGCAACAACAAAAAAAACCCACCTAAACCACACCCCCCAAAAAGCAACACCCACAAAGCCCCACATGTGTTGAATAGTTTCAAATAATATGTAAATGTCAGGAAATTGCTTCCAGCCCTGGGGTGTTCCATGTTCAGAAATAAAGTTGTTGTAGTTGTTTGAATTATTCACCTCTCTAATGTAACACAAAGCAGTCTGCATCCCCTGTGTCATCTTTGTGCAGTGGAAACAGAACTCTTTTGATGTTGCCAACTGTTGATGGCACATTGTTTGTACTGCATAAATTATGTTTATTGACTTGACTTGAGCCCAAGGTGCAAAGCGAGATTTGCACCATTTTATGTAGAAGAAAAATAGTGAGCTTAAGAAAGGGCACTATAGCTAATGTCAGAAAAATGTGTAGTTAGATCACTGAGCATGTCTGGGCAACTCACACTACTGCCAGTTTATCTTGAGATGAGGCTGTAGCAAATGCTGGAATATTCCCTTTAAAAATTTAGCTTGCGCTCATGATGAAGAAAGGAATTTCACACAGCTCTTCTTCCCTGTTGTGTCTTTACCTTTGAAGAGTTAGAAAATCAAATTTCTCATGTCCACTCTCCACTGCCAGCCCAAACACCGGGAAAGTACCCCTCATTTCAGTCTGACCTCTTTTGTGAGTTAACTGGAAAAATGTATTTTCAGGTTGTAGCTGTATCAGAAGCCAGTGATATTACTGAATTTACATCATCTCTTCAGGGACTTACCTCAGCTCTGAACCTGGTCCACATAGCACATACATATGGCTATTTGTTTTTTGTTTTCGTTTGGTTTGACTTTGTTGGGGTTTTTTTAGCTATAGATGCATATTTAGAAATAGTTTACAGTGGAACCTGACACCACAATCTCAAAGGGAAAATGTGTTCCTAGCAAATTGTATTAAAAGCTGGAGGTGAAAATGAAGCTGGAATTGCACTGTGAGCAGGGTTTGTGTTAAGTAATATTTCATGTTAAATATACCCATGTTATCTGGCTTACTTGCCCTGTAGGTAGCATTGTGTCTAGTTGAGAAAATATTTAAAGAAAAATCTTTAATTCTCTCCTCTTTTGCATAGGTCTTTTCTTTCCCTCTTGCACTCCTACTTCAGCAACCTCTGTAGCCTTGGCTGTGCCCAGAATCCTGAGCAGCTTTGCTCAGGATGTCTTCACCTTTGTAACAGAGGAGGGCCCAAAGGGCACTGAAGTGCATGGAAATCAATCTCTTAAATATTTATAGATCCAACTGATACAGAGTTTGAGGGGAATTGGTGGGTCAGGTCATGTCAAGCCAAGGGGATCTTCTCTTCCCAGTTCATTTGTTTGTCAGCTGGTTCATTTTGGTGCCTCTGGCAGTGACCTTTGGGCACGTCTTAGTCTCCAGAAAGGAGGTGAGCTTCTGCCTAGCTTTGCGTCAGCAGCTTGGCCCTTGCAACAGGGAATGGGATCTCAGTCCTTAGCATTAATGGGAAAGTTTACCCTGCCCCTCCTCTGTCCTGCTGCTGTTGTGTGGCTCTAGAGCAGCAGGTGGGACCTGCAGAGCCACAGGACCAGCTCAGCACTAGGCTGTTGGCCCCTACTCCAGCAGGGTCAGGCTAATGTTTTCCCCTTCCTCGATTTCTACAAAATTAAGCAGCCCAGCTGGTTAATTCTCCTGCAGTTTTACTGCAGCAAATTGGACTTCAAAGGGAATTGAAAGTGACTCTTTGTTTTTAATGGTCCCCTTGCTGCTCGACAGACTCCGCCAGCAGGTTTTCTGAGCCAAGAACAAAAGGAATTGCCACAGGTTACAAATAAATGAGATTCATCTCCTGCATAACAATGTCTGCAGATTGTTAACCTCTTTCTGCTGACAGGAGTGGGAGTGGGAGCCTGCATGGGCTGCCACAGCCAGGGCTCCATTTTGGGGCATGTCATGGAAGTTTGCTGCCTGGAGCCTTGTGCACGGCAGCTTTGCAATGTCCCTGCTTCCCTCCTGCATGCACAGACAGCCTGCATGCTTGCACCAGCGTGTCACTTTCTTTTCCACGTTACCTTGCCCAGAACTGGGCAAAATGAACGTTGCTCAGATATGTGCACATCAAACACCACAGAAGTCCTAAACCTTAACCAAAGCCTGCAGGACCTCTGGTTTGTGCTCACCAACTCTGACATCTCTCTGGACGTAGACTGGTCTTAGCCTTTCTCTGGCTTTGATGGAGATGGATGGAGATTTCCAAGCAAGATGCTGCATCTCTCAGTGTGTCTTATGTCTGTGCCCTGTGAACCTGAGGCCGGTTCAGCGCCAGAGGGCAGGAACAGTGATTTGCTGTCAGCTATGCTTGGCTGTTACTGTTAGTGACAGGAATCATAGAATCCTAGGGGTTGGAAGGGACCTTGAAAGATCATCTAGTCCAACCCCCCTGCCAGAATGTGTTCTGCCCAACTGCAGTGAGTTGAGCTGTTGCTTTCCAGGGCTTCACAGCATCTCATGAAACCACTTGGAGAAGACATACAAATCCTTCCTTTGCCAATCAGCATGCAGCAACCCTTGCACATCATTTCCAACACTGCAGCAAAGACCCCCTGTCAAGGGCTCCAAGTGCAGGCTGTGGACTTCTGAATTCAAGGACTCCGAACACTGGCCTCAAAAAGGCCAGTGCAGGTGGCAATGGAGCCACCATCTTGCTTAGGCACATCTGGACACCTCTGGCACAAATAGCATGTGACACGGCTGGGGAGAGGACAATTGATTCAGTGCACCAAAGCAATATCCTAGCATGGCAGTAGTTGTGCTGCTGAATTATGGCGCTGGTGCTGAGGCGAGAGCAGCCTTCCTTGCCTTGTTTGTATGGGCTGTAATTCAGAGATCCAACACAAATCCAGCACAGCTCATTAACGCAGAGTCCAGGGAGAGAAGAGGCAGAAATAATGATGCTGTTAAATCAGGCTTCATGAATATGGAACGATGTCTTATTTTGCATTATTGTGACTCTTACTTAAAGCATACTCCCTGCCTTTGTGCTGGGGACTGTTACTTTCTCACTTCTGTCTGGATGGAGCCAGTGATGATGCTGACCAGGCCTTTAAAAGACTTTTCATGGGATGAAATAGAGAATACAAAGGGAAGTTTTTTTTATCTGTTTCTGGAGGGGGATGTGGTGAGAAGGGTGCAGAAAGAAAATAAATGAAAACCAGGTACTAGGGTATTCAAAGTAGAGGTTGCCTAGACATTTTGAATCAGTCTCAGCTCTTCAGTGGTGCATGAAAGACAATCCCTGTGACCTGGTCTATAGCTCCCAGGTCTATGGAAACGTGTATTTGACACCTGTGAAGGTGAAGGAGGTTAAAAGCAGGGGCAGAGCTACTGTTCATGGTCTGTTGTGATGCAGACAGGTCCTGGTCCACTGTGTCAGGCTCTGAGCTTCAGGAGCCAGCTGCCTGGCAAAGGATTTGTCTCTCAAAGGTGTCTAGTTGGGTGTGAGAGATGGAGATGTATATCATGGAATAACTGAGGTCCTTTCTGAATAGTAGACCTTCCCCAAAATTCCCTCTTGATATAGCAGCTCTATATGGGAGTAGTGGTTTAATCCCAACTGTCCATGAAAACAAACAGCTGTTAGGTTCAAGCAGGCTTCTCTGAGCCTGTCTTTTCTCCTTCACCTCTCCATCAGGGTGAAGCTGTCACGGTCAGGCAGCAGGAGCAGGCTGTGACTGGGCACAAACCTGCTGCTCTTCCTGACCTTCCCTTGGGATTGTGAGAGCCGTCCAGCAAACACTGCCATGCCAGTGAGCTTCCCAATGTGCTTTGAAGCGGATTCTGAGATACCAGGCTCAATCCATGGCTGTGACTTCCAGTGCCTTGTGACAATAAACCCCTTGTTGTCCTCCCTTTTTTTTTTTTTTTTTTTTTCCCTTTCTGAGGGCTCAGTGCGTTGTGCAGTTCCTGCCCAAGGTATAAGCAGACTTAGGGTGATTCATGCAGCAAGGGAGATATGGGTGCTCTAGCAGGAGCTACCAGTTGAACTTTTTCTCCAGTGCTGCTTCTGCAGGAGAGTTAAATACAAGGAGAACAGAAGGCAATTTGGTGTCTGCAGGGGAGTGGGCTGAATACAATGTGGAAAAGTAATGCAGAACCATTGTTACTTTCCATTGCCCTTCTGCCTTGCTGCAGTTTTTCGTATTAGGAGTCAAGAAGCCTCCAGTCTTTGGTTTTCACTGCCAAGACTGATCTGGTGGCTGCTGCTACCTGTACAAAGGGTACATAGGGCTTTTTTTCCTGACCTGAGTGCCAAGCCCTAGAAAGGCTTCACTGAACACTGCTAAAATATCACACCTATCTTGTGTCCCAATCCTAAACACTAGTGGTGGAGTGTTTCAGGTATGACCTCTGTTTTGGGGCAGCTTGAGGTCCTTCTTGCAGTGTTTCCTAACCATAACACAGCAGAGTGCTCTAACTCAGGCATAGTTATGTTACAAAATTATGCATTAGATTCACAAACAGCTTGTCTTTGTACTGAATTCATGGATCCCTCCGGCTCTCCCAGCTCAAACCAGCCATCTTCAAGAACAAGCCTAGAAGGAACAAGCTGGGCACATGCAAGTATAGGGGCCTTTTTCAAGCTCAGGCGTGTGTCTTTGTACTCTTCCAGCCCCACCTGCTCTGAAGCTGTCTGTCAACGAGACGCTGGTGGTCAACCCTGGTGACAACATCACTATGCAGTGCTCTCTGACAGGTGGTGACCCACTGCCAGACTTGGTTTGGTCTCACTCTCCTGGTTTGATGCCTCCCAATAGCCTTGTGCAAGGAGGCAACCTCACCATCTGGAGGATCCGTGTGGAGGACTCGGGCTATTATAATTGCACAGCTGTCAACAATGTGGGGAACCCAGCAAAGAAGACAGTGAACTTGCTGGTGCGGTGTAAGTTTCTCTTTTTCTCATCCTGTGGGTTTTCAGGGTGGAGGGGCTAGATTGGCATTTCTCCTGGCTGTTATTGTACAGCTGAGGGTGAGTGTCATATTTAGTACCATTTAGTGTTCTGGAGAAGTGCCTGTGCAAGGTTCTCTGCTCCCAGACCAACAACTGTGCTAGTCTTATCCTGGCCTGTAGCGTTATTCTGGACTGGAGATTAATTGCCTTGGGGATATTTTGTGGAACCATAACTGGGGGAGGTCTTTGGACAGTTTTTGCATGGAGGTGTTGCCTTCCTGAGGAGCAAAGAGTAGTTGTCTTGTCCCATGCAAGACACTGTCCCTAACTGATTTTGCACTTGTGTTCATCTCAGCCATGAAGAACGCCACGTTCCAAATCACCCCTGATGTGATCAAAGAGAGTGAGACCATCCAGTTAGGGCAGGACTTGAAGCTCTCATGCCATGTAGATGCTGTCCCCCAGGAGAAGGTTGTCTATTTCTGGTACAAGAATGGAAAACCAGCCAAGTTCTCAGACCGGTTGCTCATCACCCGGAATGACCCTGAGTTCCCACCTGTGACCTGCAGCTTGGAGATTATTGACCTGAGATTCAGTGACTATGGCACATACCTGTGCGTGGCTACCTTCCAGGGAGCGCCCATTCCTGACCTCAGTGTGGAGGTGAACATCTCCTCAGAGACAGGTGAGCCTCTCTGTGGCAACAGACAACCTCAGAAGAGTCGTTGGCATCACTCGCTTCCCCCCACCTGCCCCCCCCC